ATTTTATATATTAACCAGACTTTGATAATGCGATTAGATACGTCTTAAAAGTATTCTAAATAAATACAAAAATATGATTCATAGTATATGCATTTAGAATTATTTGTATAAAAATAGTACTTTCAAAAAAAAAACCTTCCGAATACTTTATTCAGTATTCAGAATATTTTAGGAATAAGCATTAAAAAAAAAATAGGTTACACAGATTATATATTATATTACATGATGCTAGATAACATGATTATGCATTAATATTAAAAAATATATTTTCGAGAAAATAATATACATATGTTAAAATTAAGTATTAAACACACTAAAATGAGATTGAAAAAAAGATATTATTTTTAAGAAATATGTTACTTTTAAAACTATTCGGAATACGGTATTGAATTCTTTTGAAAAAAAAAAAAAACGGTTTTTAAAGTATTGCAGAGAATACTAATTCGGAATACTACCCACGTTTACGATACGTAACCCACCGCAATGCTTTGCTTGGCCGTGAGACTAGCGAAGCAATAAAATAAGACCCTCTGCCTGGCATACCTCATCGTTTACAATATTATTACACTTTCGTTTTTATTTTTCTCCGGCCGTTTCGTTTAAATCGAGGGGTTTTTTTTTTGTTTGTTTGTTTGCCTTTAAAATGAAAAATGTTCGAGATAAGTGAATCAATTATATACTGCCGTCGCCGGCCGCTGTCGGATTGTATACGAGTATAATCTTTTACCACGCGCGATTAGGTATATAATCAACTAACCGAAGATAATGGTCGAGTTTTTACCACGCGTTTCGCGGAGTTTCTCGCGCCGCGAACTTAGTTGGTAGATACAGCTGCGGGATAAGTGAAAAAAGAAACATAAAAAAAAAAAAAAAAAGTTGCATAAAGTTTCGACAAAGTCGGTTGCGTGCACGCGCGTTTACCGAAAATATAAATTTGCAGTGTATAGTATGATATAATATAATAATATAATATTATGTGGCTTTCCGGATATCATCAATCAATCAATGTTTACTGCTACTATACGTGCGCCTACAATATATACCTATGTATATTTATATAGTCATCAGCCGAATATAATATAATATTATATTATATTTTGAAAATTTCAAAAACAAACTAAAAGAGCCAGTAGGGATTTTGAAGGATTAAAAGTAATTATATTATTTAAAGTCGTTCGAGAGTATTATAATTTACCACCTTTTGGTCCCGCGGGATAATTTGTTACACATTTTTTTTTTTTTCACCATACATTGAGGTTATATTATTCGTATTATTACGAAATGTTTCGTTTTTTTTCTCGAATTTGTTTACATTAGTATTTGATTTAATCCATTGACGGTTATTATAGACGAAAAACGTCAAAACTAAATCATGCATATACATTTTATACGTTTACACCAATATATACTTGGCTTGAATTTCCAAGTATCCAGAACGTTATGAAAACTTGAAAAATGTGTACTTACATTTTAGATTCGCCTTTTTTCCATTATACGCGGGTCGCCCTATGCCACGCCATGTTTTTGTAATAATTGATATCTCCCGGTAAATAAACTAATACAGAACAATGAATAACCATGTGACTTATCAAATAGAAAAAAGGACGGATATACTCACGCGTTGGTGCAACCACTTTTGTAGGTGGGAAGTTGGGAAGGTAATTTACAGACGGGAATTTAATGTGTATCTGTAAGCAACGATAAACCATTGCTGACAAAAGAACGATTCTGAGTGAAGTTCAGTTTATAGTGTTGCTTCGTCAACAATATATATGTCATATTATGGTAAAACGATTACAACAATGAATTTTTCTATGAAAAAAAGGATTGTTTAAAAAAGATTAATAAAATAATAAAAACGTAATAATAAATAAATAAAATAAATATATAAATACAAAATTTATGCACGAAAATGAAATTAATTAATTAATCAATGCGTTGCCTGGAGTATTATGATAAGTGTATTATATGACCGATTTTGAATTAAAAATTTACTATCAGGTATATCACAGTCAAAATGTAAAACGCGACTGAATATAAAAATTAAATGAATGTATAAATAGAAAAAGAAAAATACAAATTTATCGTTTTACATGAAATATCAAAATAATTTATTTAAATAGGAGAGATTATTTAAAACTAGTTATTATTAGACATAGATATGTTAAGAAATTTAAATTATTTGGTTATTATTTATTATCTAGTATGTATTGATAAGATATTATTTTTAAAATCGGTTTGAAAATTTAAAATATTATTAAAATTATTCTTCTTTATTTCATTGTGTACGTGTAATTATTTAAAAACTAAAACTCCTGAAACTCCAGGCAACACATTGATTCATTTATTCATTTTATTTTTATACATACATTTTATATTTATATATTTTATTGTTTTATTTATTTACAAGTATTAACCATTTTAATAATTTTGTTTTTACTTTATTATTTTATTATTTAATAATAAGAAAAAATAAATGCAACCGGTCGCCAATGACAACCTTATTTTTAATCTTTCAATCATTTATAACCTAAAGAATCAGATTTTCCTCGTTGTCTCGAATATTAATGAGAATTTCAAAAAATAACCTCTCTAAAGTACCACCCAAAGAACATTTCCTTTTAGAAAGGTGCAAGCTTGAAAATCGAAGTGAGCTTCTGGTAGAAAAAGAGTTCACATAAAAAAAAATAAACATCTTTTTAAAATCATTACATTCCTCGATAAACTCAGAATCTAAAAATATATGTGTCGGTTGTAACTATGTAATCATATTGGGAATTATATGAATATAAGTTAAAAAAAAATATATTTCTTTTTGTAACGTTAAAATATTAATATCGTTGGTAAATTTTTGGATAACTATAAACATGTATACAATATATTATTCTGTTTGACAATATTTCACCAAAAATAATTAAACCGGTCGTCGTGATGGTGTATTGTGTAAAGAGTTAATAAGTAATTACTCATCAAATTAAACGAATACAACGACGATCCTTTAAGTTAATAAGTAAACTGGGAACTAAAAATTAATTAATATTTAAATTAAAAAAATATCTATTATTTTAATGGAATTTCATTACTTTTTTTTTTACTGGATTATCTAACTTTTAACTACATTATTATTACGTTACATTAAAAGTTTTAAAAATGAATTCGTTAATTATTATAAACCTTTAGAATTATAATGTGTATACACGTGGCAGTTGGGTATTGCAAAATATTGGGATACGCAATATTATAAGACTATATAGCGAATGAACCGTATAATTTTAATTAATGTGAAGTTTTAATGATGTAATAATAACTATATTCGCATTAAGTAAGTAAGGTTTTATTATTTTTACCATATTAATATTATTATTATTTATATTCAAGAATATTTTAGTGATTTACTGTGGACTGCATCTTGCACAGCAAAAGTTACTCTTAACAGTTTTTTGACAAGCAAACAAGTGTTTCAGGGGAAGTAAAAATTAATATTTATTGTTTTTTCCACCGTAAAAAGCATTGAGTTATCATAAAAAATACTATAACTAAATATGTCTTATCTAAAACTATTATTCGTGCAAATCAGTGCCAAATCTAGGGGGGGCTCACTTTTATTTCATTGTTCATTTCGGTATAACATGTAACGAATAACGAATATTGTAAATTTAATAAATACATTTTATTGGCAATTGTATTTATCAGGTGAAATTCCTGGGAAACATTTTCTCATCCTTAAGTATACTTAGATTCATCGCTGCTGATAATTTTAAATTCACGGAAATTAAATGAAATAGTTATGTAATTTTTTTCTTCCATTTTTGTTTCCTTCTAAGCAGTTTTGCTGATCGTTTCTTCTCTAATCTGATGTTTCTGCTAAGAAAAACGAATGGCGTGTAAAATGCTTAGTAGTTAATAGGTTTATGATCGACAGTTATACAATTCTAAAAAATGTTACATGGATATAATGTCAGCAACTGCAAACAATCATGCGTCCGACATGTGTCATAGTTCGTAGTTTACACACAATGGAAGCATTAATTTTATTTGTTAATTCTAATGAGCTATGTCGTAAATCATCGCATCAGCACACCCCCGAAATATTACTGCATGACGCACTTGAGATTTTGAGAACATAGAATATTTCAACCTCCTCCTCCCCTTCCCCCGCGCATCGTTCAGACTTGACGACGTCGAGTAAGTAGTATATTGTCAAAAGTAAAATCAAATGCATATAATGTTATTAACGGCCGTGAGTTTAGAATATAATATAATACCTAACCTTTGGGATTGTTTCGCCTCATAGAAAGTTATATAGAACCGCTAAACGGATTGTTTACTGTGATGCGTTTTCAGATAACTCATGTCCCCGTCAATCACGCAATAATTTAAGTACTTTTTTTTTGATAAAGAAAAAAAATGTGGTTGATGGGCCATCACCGAAAAAAAAATCATCTCCATCACGTTCATTTTTTACCATAAAGTACAGCTATTAATGTACTTCATGTTAAATTAATTTCTGATAATTTGTTAAATTATTATTTAATATTATATTATAACTAAAAATATCTCAAATGTATCGCCAGAATATTTTTAAAAATTTGATCTCACCTATGGAAGGCTAATGTATGTATTCTGTATGCAATTTAGCTCTCTACGATTATTTTTGACCAAATTAAAAAACAAAGCAAATTCGAACCTAAACTTCCCGATTTATAAGAAAATTAAAAAAATTATTGCAACGTAGCAACAAGACAATATATGTTTTTAGAATGCTATATCTGAAAACGAAATGAAGATTTCTAGTTGAAAAGTTATTTTCAGTCAGAAAAAAAAGCGTACATTACAATAAAATCAATACATAAGCAAAACATATCTATATTTTTATTAATTCACGAAAATATAATAGACCTTAAAATAGGTATAGGAACCGACCGAATATGATTTTCATATTACGTTACGGGTCCATTTTTTCTGTACTTTCAGACATAATATAATGTGTTTCGGACATCATCGGAAATGATGTGTGAGTCGGTTCTGTTCTTATATGGTATACAGCGCGTATACGACGGTGACAATAAGTCGGGAGGAAAATGTCCGCGAATTAATTACAGACATCTGCGTTAGCGGCGGTATATCGGGAATCACGTGTAGTTGACAGAGAACGATCGTTTTGCCTTGTTGATTGTGTTGCCTGCGAATAACTGCTTGGTGTATATTTATCATTGACGACGACAACTTTCAACTATATTGGTAACACTTTACCACATCGCATCTTCCCGTCCCGTGGATATTCGCCCTTTAGAGGGGAAATAAATCAAACCGTCTCCGTGGGAAAAAGTGCATACAGTAGGTATAGCTAATTATCGGATTATTATTATTTCGGTAAAACAATAATATTATAGGATTTTTTTTAGTTTTTTTAGATTTTCAGCGAAACGATCAAAAAAATACAATACTATTGTTTTACTATATATAAATGGCACATGTGCTTTTTTCTCTGCTTGTAAATGAGTTTTCGACCAAAAGTCTTATTATTCCCATCGTAAACTTCAAAGATATAGTTTTCGGTAAAACTATAGGAAGGTTCTTTTTTTTTTTTTTACTTTCTTTGTATTTTTCTTAATAGTATGAGAAAACAAAAAGAAAAAACGTCAAAAAAACGGAAGTGTTTGTACGAAATTCTATGTATGAATGTCGTTTTTATTTTTGTTGTTTTAATGCTTTGAAAAAGAAATATTCACCGAACACTCACATTATAGCATTTTCTAAACGTGGTATCTTCAAATTTTAAAATATTTATCGGGTTTTTTATTTATTTATAAGTATAAGAAAATTCAAAAAAACGTTTAGTCTTTGATTCTGAACAAAACGAAGAACATATTAGTTTTATTGCAATGTTTTTATTTTTTGTATCTAAAAACTTTTTTTATACCAAGAAACTTTCTGTAGTCAGAAATTATATCAACTAAGAACTCTAAAAACTTTTAATAGTATTTTTGTTATTGTTACTGCCTTAAAGAGGTAAATTTTTGGTTTCCCTTATAGTTTTCTTAATAAATGAGAAAAATACGACTAATTTATACTCTGCTGATCAGCGTCTTGTTTCGTTAGCATCGTTTGATGGTTTGCCGTTGCGTAAAAATAAAAATAAAATTACTTCATATATCTCCACTTCTATTTTTCCTCCTAAAACAGTACCCTGCCCAACAGCAATGTCAGCCTTTTTCTATTAGTTTTTTGTGTAGATAATATTTTATATGTGTTCCATATCAACATTAAACAAATTTGATCCTAGTTTCATTTTAATAATATTATAAGTTGTACTAAGCGGAAAATAAAATGTTTAGCGTTAAATATTAAAATATTTACAATAAAAGAGCTGATACAGGGGATGGGAGCGGCCACTGTTAAGAAGATAGGATACATAAGGTTATTTCATTTATATCTATAAGAAACGGTAAACCATTGCTCACGAAAGACGATTCCGAGCAAAATTCAATTTGATGTTCCGTAATTTTGTACACGATTTTCGTTTAAAATTTGAATTTAAAACGTTTATTAAAATAAATAAGTCGTCCGATAATTTTGGACATTTTACCACGTCTAGGTACGTCTGTGGTTTTTCGATTAAATCATTTTTTCTAGTAGACTACGTCGTTCGTGTTTTTATAAAATTATGAAATCGTGAAATTTTAAGTGCTTTCATTTAAAAAATGGCGTCAAAAATCAAGAAATGACTTTTTTAAAGTACAGTTTAGATAACTTGATTTTTCAGAAAAAGTACTACACTAATATATTGGAGTAAGTTTACTAGAAAAAAACGTGTCCTCGGACTAGAACAAAGAACAGAAAACAAAGAAGAAATAAACAGCATTGCAAAACCAATAGTTCCCTCGCTACGCTTGGAATCTAAAAAAGCTTTTAAAATTGAAATTTTGATGAAATTATAATAATATAATAATGCATTTTCCTTGTAAAATATTTTTTTAATATTCAACACGTCCGGCCAAAAATATTGTAGAAGCTCCTTTGTACCGTCTTGTATTAATATATTATTACGGATGATATTCGGCGCACCTTACATTTTCTTACTGCGGATGATGAGAGGAGGGAAGGGGTTGCAGATAGTTACACCATCATTATGGTTGTTGAAATATTATTCATAAAGGTTTTTTTAATATATTTATTTATTATGATCTTCTATAACGGTTCGTTTAAAATATTATTATTGTTGTACTCCAACGATGTAAGCACGTATAGTTCGTGTACTATACAGTTAAATAAAACGACGTACTTTATATTGTTTTCCTCATTTTTTATTGCCCACCCAGAATATTATACAACATTTTGCATTCATTTCCAAAGCAATCGCAGCGTTTTAGCACCAGAACGTGGTACATAATAATAATAATAATAATAAAATAATGACGATCGTTTAGTGCGAACAAACAGGATTTAGTGTTCAGCGGTGTCGCATACGCTTTTAATCAGAATTTACCTACCCAACCTACGTAATATTTTATTCAGATTGACATTTTTAACGGTTGAAGTATAAAAAAAAAAAATGATCTTAAAACATTTACCTATAAACTAAAAAACTACTACAACATAACGGTCAACATTTTTATTCGGTCAAACAATTTTATCCAAATAGTGCCTTCCGAAAATGAAACTCAAACGTGATCCCAAGTCTGTAACTGTAGCTACTGGCCACCCATCCTAAACAACAGGACATTCCATAAATCCTTTCAATAAAACCAATAGAAAAAATCTACAATGCCTCGAATGCAGCACCAATCCGAATTAGATCACTAGACATTCGCCAATAGTTCCATCTAGTCTGGGTATAGGTATACGTTATGATATTCTGTGAATATTTTCATTTTTGAAAATTTCGAACATATCAATACATTTCGTATATTATAATAATATATTACATTACGTTTAGGACAGACAACCTTTCAAACATATGGTTTTCGTATAAATGACCTCTTTTCATCATCGCAGATATGGTTTACAAAATTGTTATTGATAATTTAATAATATTTCGTCATTTCGAATTGTTGTGCCTTATATAATATTATATTATGTATGAGTGATACGTTTTGTAGTTGTAATTGAATCAATCGAATATATTATTATAATAATATATTGCGTCAAGACGCGCGCACGTATATTGAAACGGTGAATAGTTTTTAAGTGAATTATCGCCTTATATAGTCGTGTTAGAAATATTATTATATGCAGGTACATCTAAGTGCATTTCCAATTATTCGGCTCTACGTACATATATAATATTTACACCGGCGAATATGTCACTTACACTGATCGATAATACAAGCATTTGGTTTCACGGTGAACACGGCGCGATATAATAAAATACGCTTCTAGTTTATTTTTTCCAAAATAATGATCGAAAATTATACGTAACGTCCTAATATAATGCGATGGTTTGAATGAGACGGATGACACGGGCGGGTTTTGGGGAAATTATAGAAAAAACGGCAATGTAGTCAAGACGACAGGATAGGTGGGCGTGACCGTTATCTTCCGAAAATGCCATTTTTTTCTGCAGTTCGTTCTCTTTCAAATATTTTTTTGAAAACAAAAAATATCTGAAATAAAATCACGCATCATAATAAAACCGAAAAATTCTTCAATGCGCTTAGAATCTAAAATGCATTTTTCATTGAAATCCGAGTCATAATATCTTCGGTCTTAGGGGAGAACAAAGCTCGGGATAATTTTATATAATATATAGCTTTAATTACATGTAAATTAAATTTTGAAAATACATACGCTTGTACACGGATTAAAATAGCGCATACGCTGTCTAAACGCATAAACATAAGTCATTAAGACCGAATGCAAAAAAAAAATGTGAAGATGGAATATAGATTGGAATTTAATGTATATCTGTACGCAACGATTAACCATTGCTAACGAAAAAACTATTCTGAGTGGAGTTCAATTGATAGCGTTGCTTTGTCAACATTATATATGTCATATTAGAGTAAAATAATTCATATGCATTGAACATTTTTTTTAATAATATTCGTTTAATATCGTACCTATTTTCCTACATTTTCCATGTTTTTCCCAGTTTTTCCTATTTATGGAAAAATTCCAAAGAAAATCAAAAAGTGACCTCCCTAAAGTACGTCCTCAGTTAGATTTCCTTTTTGAAAGAGTGCTACCATTGTAAATCGGAGGAAAATCGATGGTAGAAAAGTTGTTCATAGATAAAAAAAAAATAAACATCATTGTAAAACCAATACATTCCTCGTTCAACTCAAAATCTGAAATATAAATAGAAAAAACTATTCCGAAAATTGACTTCTTTCCCAGGTATAAAGATATTATGACGTGTAGGTACCTATAACTCCTTTACGTACAATTTTGTCCAACCGATAACCGCGGTAACCACTGCAGTATTGTTTGACGAATGGACAGTTATTTCGGAATACTGATTTAAAAAAAAAAAAAAAAATGAAATGAAAATAATTGAGAGCTTCGTTTTAGGCCACTGCTGCTGAGTCGAAACGTTGGCTCCTGTGCTGCAGCAGATAGATATTGGGTTGTTAACGTACATGGCCGGCAATATTTCACGACCGCCTCCGTCGTGTTATAGTCGTGGCGGCGTTTCTACGCCGTTTTAAGGGTGTGGAGGTGAACGGCGAACGTGCATTTGTGTTTACTCGCGTATAATATACGTGCACCACACAGTCAGTAGTGTTCGTAGCGCACATATTCGTGTATAATATATATATATAAACTTTTGCCGAGCGTATACAGAACCTTTTGTCCAAAAATATGCGAGTCGGCACGGCCGGTTATCGTAACAGTTGTCATTATTTTTGAGATATACGTTCCGTTTTGAACTTTGAACAACGGGCATATTAGTTTTGGCGCGAGGACGCGACGTCGGCGACCGGCTCTATATTATACCCGGCCGGATAGGTAAGTCAGCCGTTGTTTTACCTAATGACGAACTAACCAGCGGCGGCGGCCTTTTGTTTTTTTTTTTTTTTTTTTTTCGAAAATCTAACCTACAGCCGATAGAATTGACGTCAGTGTCTGCGCGGAACGGGAAACCGCGATATTGATTTTTCATTCCGTAATGTTCTTATTAATCTTGTTTGAAATGTACACCAAACTTTAAAATGCGTTTACGGTTCAGTTTTAGATTTTTATTTTTTTGGTATATAGTTTAAATTATTAATATTATAAATAGAAAACGATTCTTAAGATGGTCATAGGCGGTGACTCCACCCTACATAGTTTTAGATTCTCGGTGTAGCAACGATGAACATATTGATTTTATTACGATGCAGTTTCTTTTTCTCGGTGTCTGTGAACAACTTTTCTACCAGAAATCGTCGAGTGTATTATTTTTTCTAGAATTATTTTACGTCTTGTTGGGATGCAACGAGGAGGATGTTGATTTTCCACGTTGGTTTCGTTATAATCGGAAAACCCAGGTAGAATGCCATACCAATTGACGGTTTCTGTTATATTCGATTTTGTTTTTATTCATCGTAAAACGGTTAAAACTAATCATATATACCTTGAAATTTGAACCGAATACTCGTATTAGCTCTTTTTCTATACGTGGCCGAATTTTGATGAGAATTGTTTAAGTCGCAGTGTTTCAATACGACATGTTTAGCAGAACTTCGTTCAGAATAGTATTTCGTTGGCAATATCATATACATCTATATACATTTTTTAAATAATCGTGAGGTCGAAATTTTATTGATCCCCGTTCAATATGTAATATTATTATTATTTCAGTTTCAATTCAGAATTCGACTATCTCGCGGTTTAACACGTTTTTATTTAAATGCACTTTATTGTTATTACTATTATATATGTTCAAGCCCACAACTACCCGAATGAAAAATATACGTTTCGTTACGTTTATTTTTTCACCCTCGAAGTTGGTACAATAAAATTTCGTTGGCTTTTGGCAGGCAAACGTCTGGTTGCAAACGCTTATGAATTATTAACCACGTGACGTTCCACCGCCGCCGTCGACTGTCTATTTCAATTTCAGCTGATAACAGAAACACACCCTGTCTAGATTTCTCATAACTTATTTTGATTAAACGCTTTATTCTCTTTATGGTGCTTAGCAATATAATATAATAGTATACCTTATTATACCCATTGTTTCGCTGACCTTTTCACATGCGACCTGCTGCATAAAGGTCGCAATCTAATAATAATACAATAAATAGTGAATTATTTTATCAAGTTTTTATCAATACAATTTGCGTTGTAGATTCTACAAACACTTAGAACTAGAACTTAGAAATAGGATTTTCGTTGTTGGAATGTTCGCTATTTATTTTTTTCGATTTCCACGTCAAAATATTACTTGTACATTACTTGTTCAATTACGTTTATATAGTACATGTACAATATTTTAAAAGGTAAAATAAAAAAAAATTCAATTAAATGTTTTGATTTCGAAGACGATAGTATGTTATGAAATTTTCACGCGGTGGCTGACCTCTAATGGAGAATATTGAACTGCATTATCGACTTTTTAATTTGTACGGTGTAAGATTCCCGAGAGTCTCCTGTAGCTCCTCATACCGATACCAATGAGAATCGGTGAGAATATTGCAATTGTAACGTTTGCATTTTTGCGTAAACAGAACTCATTAGTATATTGATTATCAGTTACAGTTATAATATTTCATCCGTGTAAAGGATATATAGTATTTTGAATTACGTAGTTATTTACCACGGGAGACAATTAAAACTGCTATTCTAGATACTGCTAGATTATGTCGGGAAACGTTACCAAAAACTACACGGTCGTGTTCGGGCGATATAATTTAAATAAAACTGTAATATATTTGTATAAATATAATTACGCACAGTAATTATGTATTTTATTTCGAAAATAAGAGATAATAAAAAGCCCGAATTCATTGTGTTTCTGTAAATGATAATGTTTAACGTTAAATTAAATATGTAGTCATTACTAACCAATAGCTAATAAAACTGACGAGATTGGACGCAATTGGCTCCCAATTTCGGTTATAAAAAAAAAATCTACTCTTGAAATAGGCCTAGAAAAATATATTTGAATTGGGCGCTAAAACCGTAAAAAATATTCAAAAAGGAGTTCATAAATCAACAGTATTACTAGAAACACTCTCGTATTCACCAAATATACAGTTTAGACATTTTATCATGAATTCACACAGGTATTCTATAGAAATGTCAATTCTCTCCCATTATTTTTTAACCGAATTACAACGAAATTGCCGAAAATTTTCTGGTTTTACCCAATTATTATAAAAACTACAGGGAAAATTGGAATAATGCGTTCTCAATACATTCAATATATAAAATTTGCATTCAGAAATGATACTTCATTTGAAAACAAAATTAACGTTTCTGTCAGAAAAGTTGATTATAAACAAAAACAAAATTAATGAATAGACATATCATAATAAACCAATAAGTACTTTTCTCGATGAGCTCAGAATCTAAAATTTAAAAAAAAAACATCTTTTTCTAACGTTGTTATAAGATTTTTTATCATTCCACAGGCAAACACAATGTAAAATTATTATATTTTTCGATTACTTCAATATATCGCATGTGGCCACTATTTTTTGTCAGACTTTCCCCAAAAATAGACACTATATTGCACTATATAGTGATTGGCGTATGATACTTTTAGACATTTCCATTGGCACCCTTTTAACCCTCTACTCAGGAATTAAAGTTTTTAGGCAAGGTGAAGTGATAGAAGTTGGGTTGATTTTCATTATAAGAATAATTAATATGTTGTCGCGGGTAGAAAGTATTATTTTTAATGTTATACATTCCTTTACAGATCCCCCATATAAAACTAAGGGAATGAAATTCGGTGTATTTATGGCTATATCTAGGATGTTTATTTTGGGAGTTTCAACGTCCAATCCCCATACTATAATAATTATAGTATTTCTATTTAATAATAGAAATAATTTCTATTGTCGAATTTCACTAATTTTAAATTTCGAACGAAACAAGGAATTTATTGATTTGACTCCAATATGTTTTATTTTTTTGTCTTTAAACAACTTTTCAATCAGAAATCTTGCTCTAATCAAAAACGTTATAGTTTGTTTCTTATAACATTTTTGGTATTTTTGATTTTCGTTGTAATTTTCTTAATAAATTGGAAAAACTGACAATTTTTATTGATTTCTGAACTACCTTTGCCACATGAGAAAAAATGCGACTTATTATACTCTGCTTTGAAATTTTTTCGTTTACATTGGTTATGTATAGATATAGATTAAATTATTCGATACATCCTCCCTTTTAACTTTTCTTTATAAAAAATATAGCACTCCTAACAACAGTATTCGCTTTATTAGATTTTTTTTCGGTAATACAATTGTAAATAGTATTCGGTTTTATATTATTTTCCGAAGAATATTTCTACTATACAAAATAGGCAATGGAGGAAAATTCTACTCCAATGATGGAGCTCATCTGTCGCTCACGGTTGTATATTTTACGTGTATCATAAATTAATATGGTTCAAGCGTTGAACTACATTAACAATATTATGACGTTACCAAATCTAATTATTATAACTGAAGTAGTTTATTTGTGACGGGTGCGATTCAATCGTTATATCAAATATATATTACATTATTTAACTATGTATAGAACGCTCCCGGTACACTTAAGCGAAATTGCCCATTTAGTCGTCCAAACCGTTAGATACGGCCGCTGCGGTAACTATTGATAATAAACTATTATATAATATAGGTAAAAACAAAATATGAGGGGGGGGGGAAACGAAAAATACTAAAACACGCGTATGCACGTCGGTACCTCGTGTTAAAGCCAAAAACAACTCTATACCTATACTAATAACAAAACAACAATGCGTGGATGATTATTTCGTCCCGCCAAAACTCAGTTTACCGATTGGATGAGCGTAATGCGCTCCGTTTGATAATAATAATATTATATAGACACGGTTATATTATATTATACAAACCTACGAGCGTTACTGCGACACAATAGATATTATATTATATACATATATATATATAATAATAATACTTGGTAACAATAGATAATATGAACAATTCTCAGCTGGCTCAAAAGCCTCGAAATAATAATGACAACTATATTATTATATATAATTATATTGTAATAACAGCTTGTGTTCTGTTCCGGTCCGTATTATTTGATTTAAATAGTAAATATACCGTATTGTTATAAAGGCGGGTACAGCATTTCAACTCAATTAAACGTATAAGTATAGTATGCCAAATCCCAGAAAAATCCGTCAAATTCCGCGTCCAGTTGAGTAACATTACTATAATATTGGCATAGCCTTTTTTCTGTACGTAAAAACTGCAATATATTTTTATAACGCGTATAACATTTGTTGAACAATAAAAATGAATATTACTAACGAAATTATTCGCTTGACTCTTTTTATCGTATAATTACCTAAAGTGTATCAAATTCATGTACGTTTTAACGGGACTA